GGGGGCACAGGCCTATCTGGGGGCACAGGCCTATCTGGGGGCACGGGTACATTGTTTGGAACTGATACCTGATGGCGTCGATGGCGTCGGCGGGCTGCGGTTTGAACAAGGCCTTCCACGTGGCCCAGCCCTTCAGCTTCTCCTCCTCCTGGCGGGGCAGGGGCCGGTGAGCCGCCCGCCTCTGGGCCCACCGCCAGCCCGGCTCCCCTCGGGCCCTGCTGACCTTGTGCAGGGGGAACCTGACCTCAAAGATCTTTTGCTTCACCAAGTCGTCAAAGCTGTCTGGCGGTACAGGGAATCCGGGGTCAGAGGCGGTGAGGGGCTCTGGCGGACCCTGCCCACCCTCCTGGCCCGCCCCTGGCCAGCCGCCCCCACAGCGTGGGGGACCTGGTGGCCAGTCCTCACCACCGTCGGGCGTCTTTATGTTCTGCAGGATGGAGTGGACGACTCGGATTCTGGAACAGGAGCGCTCTGTGTGGCCCTGCATGGCCTCGGGGGACGCTGCCCGGAGCCGCCCCTGCCCTGGTGAGCCCCAGCCCGCCGCCCTGCCCATCAGGAAGAGCCCTCCGCGTGCCTGGTCCTCCTGTGGCTTCGGAGGGCCACTCTCGGCCCCCTCCTCCCAGACCCCCTGCTCTCCACCCCTCCTGCCCAGACCCCCTCACCGCCCGCCTGGACGCCCCAGGTCCGGAGCACCCCTCCTCCTTCCCTGAGCTGGCTTCCTGCAGCGACTGAGGCTCGGGGAGGCCCAGCTGGGACCGCCTCGTGCCCCGACCGCGGAGCCGCAGGAGCCCCCGAGGCCCGGGTCACCCCCGGCGCCTCACCTGCCCTGCCCTCTGCTCCCGAGACCACCAGTTGCCCCCAGTACTGTGCCAGCCGCCCTGAGGGGCCCCGGCTGCTCTTGGTGGGGTCGGGCAGCAAGCGACAGGGCCGCTAGTCAGGCCGGGCCCGGGGTCAAGGGAGACCTGCGGGTTTGACCTGGCCCTGGAGGCCTCGGCCAGGTGTCTGGGGACGGGCATGGCCTCTGGAAGGGAGAGGTGGGGGCCTGGTCTGCGTGAGAGGTGCCCCAGGGCCGGAAGGGGGGCTGGGCGGCGCTTCTGGGCCTCTGGGGGCCCCTTTCCCTCTGGCTCTGGCTGAGCCCCAGGGATGCGGCCACGTGGAACCTGCGGAAGGTTCTCTGCATCCTCACAGCCAAGGGGTCAGGCGTGGGCAGCCCGGGCACCGCCACGGGTGGGCCGGCCGCAGTCTCACCTGGTGGTGGCTCGAATGGGGCTGGGGCGCCCCTCGCTGGGGTCTGGGTCCTCCATGAGCGCGTGGTACGGGCTGAAGATGCTGTCATTAGCACGGATCCCTGAGAACGCCCTCTTCTCGTCCTGCTTCTCCTGGGGAGGGCGCCAATGGGGCCTTGTCCTGCGGGAGCCCTCCCTCCGCCAAGGGGGGAAGCGGGCTGGGGGGGAGCGGCCTCTCCAGAAGGCAGG